AGAAGCGGAAACACGACGAGAATAAACGCAAGCGTGACAAGAAACGACAAAAAATACGGATCAACATTGGCACGGCATTTACACGATGGAAGTCACTGATGGAGGAAAAAGGTTTTCAAAGTGACGCTCAAGTTGCCAGTTTTCTCTTGGACAGGTAATTAACCCTACACACACAATTGTCTAATATCACTGCAGTTTTTGGAGTACAGGATGCTCAGACCTGTCTAAAACAATAACATGCTGCGTGATGATGCTGTTACTCTCCAGTATACTTATTCAGCAACGTCCCTGACGTTTCACAGGTAATGATTCAGTCATTTCTGTAAAATAATTTTCTGGATATATACCTCGGTTACTTCTCTCCGGCTCCTTTGGAGATCTTCAAGCCTTTCTTCCTCTGCTCTCACCCCGCTGGCACCCCTCCCTCGCCTGGCCCTAGCTGCACGGCCTCCCTGCCCTCTCCCTCTTCCTCGCCTTGTAACCCCCGTGCCACAAACATGACTTGGACTCTGTCAACGGGGAATATATATTCTTCCTGTGAACACAATCTCGCTGTTAAACTAATGACTACAATTACTTCGTCTGTTTATATCACCATGCAAAGCAGCTCACCAAAACGTCACAACGACGTAGAAAAAATAACGGGTATATTTATTATCTAAAGTCTACATGAAATCTATACCCTACACAGACTAATGAAATACTATCTGTAAAATAATCTATGTAAACAAACCTCATCACTTGAGAAGGTAGGTGATGCGGACGTCGTGGAAGACATTTTGTCCCGTAATGATCGCCGTACTGTTGGGGGGGAGAAGCGGTGGGGGGGAGACGTTCATGTTGCTGCGGTCTGCAGTCTGGACGTTAGATGTCGCTGAAAATTACACACTGTAGCTTTAAATGGCCAAGCTCCATCTTATATCAGAGATCTGATTGTTCCTTATGTTCCTAACAGAGCACTTTGCTCTCAATCTGCAGGTTTACTAGAGGTTCTTAAAATTTATAAAAGTAGAATGTGAGGCAGATCTTTAGTTGTCAGGCTCCTCTCCTGTGGAACTACCTACCAGTTTTAGTCCATGAGGCAGACACCCTGTCAACTTTTAAGGTTAGGCTTAAAAATGTTCCTTTTGATAAAGCTTATAGTTAGAGTGGCTCAAGTTGTCCAATGCTGTCTCCATAGTTATGCTGCTATAGGCTTAGACTGCTGGAGGACCAGTTCATCATTCTGCAGTATTTGTTAGTTTAATCTCTAAGGTTCTGCTCTCTCTGCTTTTTCTCATAGTAGCTTCATCTGGTCTGTTCCTGTTTGGCTGTGACACCATCCTGGAGAGAAATATCTGCTGTGCTGCTGGACCTTTGTTAATAGATGCTGGAGCTTGGCCTGTTTTTCAGTGTAGTCCTGTATCTCTTACAGGTGCTGGTCATAAAATTAGAATATCATGAAAAAGTAGATTGATTTCAGTAATTCCATTTAAAAAGTGAAACTTGTATATTATATTCATACATTACATACAAACTCATATATTTCAGATGTTTATTTTGTTTAATTTTGATGATTACAAATGACAACAAATGAAAATCTCAAATTCATCATATCAGAAAATTAGAATATTACTGAAGACCAATAAAAACAAAGGATTTATAGAAATGTTGGCCAACTGAAAAGTATGAACATGAAAAGTATGAGCATGTACAGCACTCAGTATTTAGTTGGGCCTCCTTTGGCCTGTATTACTGCAGCAATGCGGCGTGGCATGGAGTCGATCAGTCTGTGGCACTGCTCAGGTGTTATGATAGCCCAGGTTGCTCTAATAGTGGCTTTTAGCTCTTCTGAATTGTTGGGTCTGGTGTATTGCATCTTCTTCTTCACAATACCCCATAGATTTTCTATGGGGTTAAGGTCAGGAGAGTTTGCTGGCCAATTAAGAACAGGGATACCATGGTCCTTCAACCAGGTACTGGTAGCTTTGGCACTGTGTGCAGGTGCCAAGTCCTGTTGGAAAATGAAATCTGCATCTCCAAAAAGTTGGTCAGCTGCAGGAAGCATGAAGTGCTCTAAAACTTCCTGGTATGTGGCTGCGTTGACCCTGGACCTCAGAAAACACAATGGACCAACACCAGCAGATGACATGGCACCCCAAACCATCACTGACTGTGGAAACTTTACACTGGACTTCAAGCAACGTGGATGAAGTGCCTCTCTTCTTTTCCTCCAGACTCTGGGACCTTGATTTCCAAAGGAAATGCAAAATTTACTTTCATCAGAGAACATGACTTTGGACCACTCACCAGCAGTCCAGTCCTGTTTCTCTTTAGCCCAGGCAAGACGCTTCTGACGCTGTCTGTGGTTCAAGAGTGGCTTGACACAAGGAATGCGACAGCAGAAACCCATGTCTTTCATACGTCTGTGTGTGGTGGTTCTTGAAGCACTCACTCCAGCTGCAGTCCACTCTTTGTGAATCTCCCCCACATTTTTGAATGGGTTTTGTTTCACAATCCTCTCCAGGGTGCGGTTATCTCTCTTGCTTGTACACTTTTTTCGACCACATCTTTTCCTTCCCTTCGCCTCTCTATTAATGTGCTTGGACACTGAGCTCTGTGAACAGCCAGCCTCTTTAGCGATGACCTTTTGTGTCTTGCCCTCCTTGTGCAAGGTGTCGATGGTCGTCTTTTGGACAACTGTCAAGTCAGCAGTCTTCCCCATGATTGTGTAGCCTATAGAACTAGACTGAAAGACCATTTAAAGGCTTTTGCAGGTGGTTTGAGTTAATTAGCTGATTAGAGTGTGGCACCAGGGGCCATCAATTTTGAACCTTTTCACAATATTCTAATTTTCTGATATGATGAATTTGAGATTTTCATTTGTTGTCATTTGTAATCATCAAAATTAAACAAAATAAACATCTGAAATATATGAGTTTGTATGTAATGTATGAATATAATATACAAGTTTCACTTTTTAAATGGAATTACTGAAATCAATCTACTTTTTCATGATATTCTAATTTTATGACCAGCACCTGTATGTCCTCTCTTTTGTCCTATGACACGGCCACTGTCTCAGAGCTCATCTGCATCTTTCCCGGACAGGGCTGCCTATTTTACAGTTACCTGTTGTATCTCTGCTTCTTTCTGTACGTCTACTTCTGTCTCCTTGAACCCCAGTTGGCCTCAGCAGATGGGCGCTCACACCGACCATGCTTCTTGTAAAGGTTTTTTCCTGTTAAATCTGAGTTTTCCTTCTCACTGCCGCTATGTGTATTCCTGGTGTGAAGGATTGCTGTCCAGTCAGTGAGTCTATGGAATGAGTCAGCAATCTGACTGTATGATGAGCTTGAATTGTCCTTGTAAAGTGCCTTTAAGTGAGATGACAGTGTCATAAATTGGTGCTTTATAGATAAACTGAATCACTGAAAAAAGTGTGCATGTAGTAACATGACTTTCAAATTTGCTCCATGATTTCAGACATATTTGTGTCAGACTAATAACATCCAACTTTAGCTGCAGGGCTTATACTTAGTCACGTTTGTGTTTGACCTGCATTCGATTTGTTTGCAACACCTCCCACCCGTTTATAGTCATCACTCGTCTGACAAAACAGATCACTATGACAAGTGGGAGACTCAGTATATTAAAACATTGGAAAAACAAACAAATGAAGACACTTTGTGATAAAACCTGTTTTTTTTTTATTTCTGAATGAAAACTAAAATAGTTTTTTAACAGCACATTACAAGGGCATTGGTTTTGACATTTTTTTTTCCAAGGCTCAGTGATCCCTTTCATACAGTACATCTGGCATGTACACGGCATCTCCTTCAAATTAATGAAAACAAGGGGGGAAAAAAAACATTAGGGGAAGGAAGATTTAAGAGATGTCTGATTGTACATTTACCAAGCAGTTTGGTTTGGTTCTAAGCCACAGAGAAATGGACCGAACGGCCTGCGGACTGCAGGGCATCGGCACCAGAGGCACAGAGAAGTGAAAAAGGACATCCTGTAATAAGCTCAGCAGCTTTAAAGTGTGTTTAGATATCTGCACATCAGATTTAACATTAGAATAAAGATGGCTTCTTCTGTCATCTTATGCACACAGTTCCTCCCTCATCCTTTAACATCTCCAACTTTACGTTTGTTTTACCATCACAATCCTTTTGCGTCAAACACTTTCTTACTGACTCCACCCCTTCAGCTCACAGTTCCCTTTCTTGTTCACAAATCTTACAATCATTCACAGAATGACAGTTAAATAAGAGTGCTGAAAAAAAAAATGAAAAAAAAAAGCAAATGAGGTAAGAAAGTGGTCCGATTACAGATCATGCAGAACGAGCAACAAAATATTTATAGGGAAGGAGAGAAATAAAATGTGCATTCAATTGAAAATGATGACTAAACAGTTTTTGAGTCTTTGGTTATAAAGTAGGTTGAACAATTTTCACAGTTTTTCATCTCTTAAAGAAAAAATAATAATTTTTTGTTTTGAAAAAAAAAAAAAGCCTAGAAAAAGTTAAATTCATAGTTTTCTTTATTGAACCATCCCATCATTTTTTTTTTATCTTAATAGGTACTGTCCTGTACAAACCCCCCACACTCTTTAATACTTTACAAAATATACATTCAACCTGGATTTCACCTCATAAAAGCTCATCTTTAGTGTTACCACCAGTTCTTGAGAACAATTTCAACCAAGGAATTTATTGCCTACTTATTCATGTTGGAAGAAAAAAACAAATAAACAAGCAAATGTTAAACCTGACAGATCTTAAACTACTAAGAAACTAAAGTCGTTTTGAATTTGTAACTTCATGACATTGTTCATTTTATATTATGAAATAGCAGCCCTGAAATAAATAGAGAAACAAAAATTGCTAAAACTGAACTACTGATGACTTTTTATTATGATTCATGTCAAAGTACGGTGGCTTTGAAAAAACAAGCATTCGATGCAGCACAGACATATATATATATATATATATATATATATATATATATATATATATAATTTCTTTTAAAAGCGTAGACTGTTGTCTCTCTCTCTCTGCCTATCATGTCCTCCTCAACGAGGACGTGTTCTTCACTCATTCCGACCGGCACCATGTCTGCCTACGGCCTCCCCCTCTACCAGCCCTGAAGTGACGTGGACACCTGGAGGACAGTTTGCGTCAGATGTTTGTTGTTTTTTGCAGGAACTCTGTCACTAATACTGTCCAGCACTGTTTACCCCAACAGTTTAAGCTCACTGAGCTTGGTAACCCTCCTGCCTCCTGCACAAGGACAACATTTAGTTTAATGCCTCACATGCAGCCGAGCACAGGACACAATAAGACTAAGTGTTGGTAAATGTCTTGACAGTGTGACGGCCCTGTGCTGGCATAAATGCATACTAATGCATGAGCCATGCCTTCTGCTTAAAGGGCTAAGAGGACAGTTTGGTGTTTTTCTTTGTTTCTCCAACGAGGACATTCTGCTCCTGTCCGTGGGAGGCATGTCCTTAAAACATGTGTTTAAAGGGGGGAAAATAAAGGGAGGGTGAGGGGGTTCACGCTGAGGTGATGTTTGGCTGATAGGAGACGCCTTGGCTCCCCTCGTGGTGAACCAGAGAGTGGCCGCTGTTTTTGATGAACGGGGGCTGATGCAGCTGCAGCGGCGGTGAAAGGCAGCTGAGCTGGCTGGACAGCTGGGTGAGCTGCTGGGTGTTAGCCAGCGACTTCAGCACGGCGTTCTCGCGCTCCAGCACAGAGTTTCTCTCGTAAAGCTCTTTGATCTGCTCCTTCAGCACCTCCACCTCCTCGCGGACGGCGTACATCAGGTGGCTCTTCACCAAGTCCTGAAGGGGGAAAGAAAAAAAACAGGGAGGTTAGGACACCAACTTTTAATGTAGAGGAACAAACTAGATCTCTTATCGAGATAAAGCGGTGAGGTCTGATCTTTTTTTGGCACCAGGTTGTCCTCAGGTGCCCTGAAAATTCGATTACGTATCTTAGATAGAATTTTTTTATGATTACCAACTGTCTTTTAACAGTGCAAAGAAGGTTGCAGAAAAAAAAGCCATCACTGTGGAGGCATGTAAGAAATGTGTTCAGCCTTAGTTGAAATATACAAAATCATAATTACCATGGCCTGCTCAATCTTGTTATCGATTGCGACCACATTGGCACCAGATGCACTGTTGAAAGGAAGAGCGAGAGATAAGACATCCATTCAGCTTTCATCATGCGCTTCAGATTCATATCAGCCATTTCTTATTCACTAATAATATTAAACTATTTTATAAACTCTTTTTGGAGCAACAAACATCAACCAGGGGTTCTTTTTTCTGGTTAGGAGTCAAATGTACCATAGAAGAACAATAAAAGTAGATTTCAAAAATGTTCAACATGTTTCAGAGTAGCTTAGTCATCATGTATGTAGAATTATGGGAACATTTTGACAAATGCTGTTGTTTACTGGCCACAGAGAAATTTAGAAATAAAAAAACAGATTAAGATTAATGGCGAAGAGTTCAATCTAAAACATCCCAACAATAAAATATAGCTACAGTCCAAACATCAATTATTAAGACAAAAAGATCTCTCTAAGGGGAGACACTCTTTGACCTTTTACCAAACAGGGACAGATAACCAGCTAAGTGGCTATAAATTGTTAGATAAAAGCGAAAGAGGCTGTAAATGAGCAAACAATGAGGCAGACAGGCCTTACACTATACATACAGTAGATAAGAAATCTAGAAAGGGAGCATTTTCGCAGTAGCAAGCTCTTTTAAATTAAGATATCCCAAATCTATGTTCTTTTGCAAACATGTTTCAACATAGATCAATCAAATCTATTGTTTCCCACCTCCTGTAATCAGACATTATATTATTAGCAGCCTGTTTCCATGTGTTTCTATTGAAAAAACAGCATCTGATATTTGACCCTAAGCTGTAAAAACACGTTTCTAATCCCTTTTATTCTCTGCAATACAGTCAGCACAGCATTAACCGTTTATTTATAAAGTTAGTTTCTTTAATGGACCTATAGGGAGCACATGGTCTCCTATACAATCCATTAAGTGTTGCCGTCCTGCGTGCTGGAGCGCACGTACAGCGCTGCATGGAGCCAGCTGAGCGCAAACTATAAACACACGGCGAACACAGGCCACATTATAGGCGGAAACATGGAGAAAATCACCCAGCCGGACCCAAACCAGCTGTTGGTTAAATATAAAGCGCTACGAGGAGCCGCCATGCAGAGAGCGGGATGATCAGCAGCTAAACGCGGTGGTTTACCTGACACATCTGGCTCTGTAGGACACCATCCTGCCTGAATGAGGAGGAGAGATTCCCGGGGAGCAGGGCAGGCTGTAGCTCATCATGCAGCGCATGTTTCAACCTTCAGATTGATCCTTTAATATTTACTAGCGAGGTTTAAACACCTGATCGAGTCTAGTGTAGAAAGCGGACAGAGTTTCTTTAAAACCCCGCTGGATCACATGGCAGAGCCAAGCCCCGCCCCTAACTCCTCCTCAATAGTTTTCTCCCTCAGGGGAAGAAAGTTGCTCAAGAAACACGTTCCCTCTCTATCTACCTGCGACTGGCTGGAAAAACCTGGTGTTAATTTAAAGAAAAAGAAGCAGCGATGCTTTGCATGTAGAGGCAACGTTACTCAAGCTGAGCCTGTTTTTTTCTGAGTAACCATAACATGTTTAAACTGTTTTAGGAACCAAATTATCCATCTATCCCTAATATGGTAAATAAAAAAAAAGATGGGGTCCAGTAAAACAATTGAAAGCGAGTTTGAACAAATGTTCACTATGTAACTATTTCTTAATGGATAAATATGGAAGTTTACAGAATTGGATTTTGAATGGAAAACTTGCAAAATCAGAACTATATAGAAAACATCCAAGAAGATCCAGGAAAACTGTTTTTCATATTAATATTTACCTTTTCTACTAATACACAAAGATGGTGTTTTTTTCTTTTCCCTTTGTGCGTGGATGCACTTTACAAGCATATAGGAAAACCAAAAAAGTAAAAAAAAACAACAAAAAAAAAAACACTGGATTTTGTTTTCCAAGTTTGAAGATGTTTCATACAGAAGATGATTAAACAACAAAAAACAAAACAAAAAGTTAACTGATTTTTTTATTTAATTCAGTATAATATGAGAAAAAAGTCAGAATTCTGACTTTATTCTCAGAATTTTGGATCTTAATGTAGATGGAGGAAGAGATGTGGGGGCACTCAGCTTCACTGACAAAGATGTGAGTTGTTTGGGAGGGCCAGTAACACATTGGTGAAAAATTATGAAATTAGGCAACTTTTTATGTGCCTGAGGGGTCCCCGGTGATGCTATTTCATTAATGGAAGAGCAGAAGGGGATTAAAACAAGAGAGGTAGTCTGTAAAACAGACATGGCTACGGCTCGATGCAGACATGTTTGTTAGCTGTCAGAATTCAGTCAGAATTCTGACTTTTTCCCATATTAAACTGAAATAATATTTAAAAATCAGTTAACTTTTTTTATTTTCCAATGGCCCTAATCCTCTTCCGTAGTTTTGCTTCCTATCCATAAAGCTTTCACAAATCGGAATGTCTGGAGGAGCAGTTTTAAGTATCTTCACAAGCAGAGAAATTTAGAAATAAAAAAAAGAAAACAGATTAAGATTAATGGTGAAGAGTTCAATCTAAAACATCCCAACACTAAAATATAGCTACACTCCAAAGTATCTTGAAGTATCTTCACAAGCATAAGGGAAATCCTTTGCTTTCCTTCTCTTTTCTACATTTCAGTGAATAAAAGCCATCCCCTGACTTCTCTACTGCACACAACAGGTAAAAGAGTTTACCAATCAAAATGTGTGATATTGATGATAAAACACCCAAAGCAGAAGACATCCCTCTCTTTGAAGTAGGTACATAAACATCTGGGACAGGGAACCAGAGGAATGTCCATGGGCTCTGACTGGAATGTGTTTTCATCAATAACAAAACACAAGAGGCATGCAGATTGAATCAGATTAGCCAGTTAAGTGACTTGGAGATGTGTCCAGAAGGAGTTACATGAAATGTTATGATCAGGAGGGGATATGATCAGGAGGGGAGGGGTGGGGGTCAGATGCTATTTGGTGTCCAAGAAAAACAGTAAATTGTACATTTTATTCAATGAGGAAGACATGTGGGGGTTTATATAAGAGCCACTTGCTGAGTTAGCCTCTACACGGACCTTCCCTGCAGATTGCTGCAGCGGTTTCAGGCCCCCCAGGAACGACGTTAGGACAAGGACATTCCAGATCAGGACACCCCTGAACCCGAACATCTGCGCCAGAGAAGCCATCATGCTGCGATAACAAAAAGCTGACAGACTTTGCCCTCTTATATTCATCATGTATGCTTTACTCCTCATTAAGCTAAATGTATGTGCAGCTACACTTCATGACATACACCTAATTACCCCCATTCACCATTTTACATGATATGTTTATAGTTTCAGAAACCCAATATGTTCTTCATTAAAACCACAGACGAAGCGGCACACGTCCCCGATCCTGAAAGCCCACAAACAGGCACCGTGGGGGAGGCAGCTGAATAAATCAGACCTGGGGCTTACTCCTCTCCCCCCTTGCTTCGTATTTCAAAACAATAACTGGAGGATGGGGGCTGGCAGCTCGCTGCTGCTCTCTTACAGATGCAAACACAGCTCTGCTTTAGCTGCAAGTGATTTGAAACATGCAGTTCAGCTATTCGACCAGATGGGGACAGTAGACGCTTCAATCAGCAGCCATGACTCCTCAAGTTCCCATTTGATGCCATTGCCTTGATGCTTTCAATATGCACCTTTGCATGGAAAGAGTTACACTGAGGTAAATGCTGCTTTAATTTAAAGAATTGTTTCTGTAAAGCTGAAGGACATTACATACCACCGGTTATATATATGTAAAACTTTTCTTTCTTAAATGAAAGAAAAAATATATTTTTCTTTAAATCTACTCATTGTCAAACAGTTTTAGATGTATCATGTTACGCAGCAGAAATTCTAATGACCACACACCTAAAGCTGTATTCTGGAGATATTACTCTCTTATTTACCCAATCAAAAAAAAAGTACATTTAAGGCACAGTCCATTTTTTATATAGTTTTAATACTGCATTTTGCTGGGGGAGTGGCGGCCTAGTGGTTAGTGCAGAGCTTGGAATACTGAGGTTCTGAGTTCGAGCCCCACTCCCACAGACTGCCACTCTGGATCCCTCAGCAAAGACCCTTAACCCCACACTGCTCCCCGGGTGCTGCACAATGGCAGCCCACTGCTCCCCAAGGGGATGGGTTAAATTTCATTGCCCTGTACTTGCGACAGCTTGACAATAAAACGCTGGGGGGGGGGGGGGGGGGGGGGGGGAATATGTAACAATTTAATCTCAAATACTAATTTTAAAATAATCCTGCCACAACTGTAGAGATGTCCGTTTCTTCTTCTTCTTCAACATGACGTCTTTTAGATGCTTCATCAACATAGACACGGGCCCAGAAACACACAAAGACCAGACAAGCTAGATCTCAAAGCAGTAAAGTTTTATTCCTTCTACCATTAAATCAGTCTCAGCTAGGTGTGTCTGCTGTCATCTAACTTCCTCAAAAAAAGCCCTTTGGCTACATCCCCACCTATGGCTTAATCACTAAACTGACATACAACCAACCAAGCATCCAGCTGTATATTCAGCTCGCAAACCTTACACAGTGGCGACCGACCAGGTCATCCTCCAATAAAACACTAACTACTCCAGTAAGAGCAAAGCTGGATGACTGGGAGCATGAGAAGCAGTCGACTTCCTCAGGGGGGGGAGAGGATAAGCTCTGAATTTTTTGGTCGGTGGACAGACTTTATTTCTGTGAATTAAACCCATTTATACACAGCTCTGTTATTTCTGCTTGGTTTGGGGCTATAACAATTGCCAGCAGGGACGGCTCATGATGGCTTCAGAGCCACATCCACTCATTCTGGAGGAACCATAAAATAACTTTAGGAGTCACATGACCGAAAAATACCAGAGAGACAGTGGGGGGGTCCCAGGCAGGGGGTTTTCCAGCCTGAAACAGTACTTGTTGATAAGTTATCAGCTAAAATCTAATCTTTACAGTCCACAGAATAAGCATTTTACCCTCTTAGATTACTCTTTTTGCTTCTTC